AACTTGCCACTCTAACCATTTTTAAGTGTACAATTCAGTGACATTAATTACATTCACAGTTTTGGGCAGCCACCACCATCCACCAACAAAATTTTTTATCAGCTGAAACAGAAACTCAGTAGCCATTAAGCAATAACTCCTATTTCTCTCTCCCGCCTAACCCCCGGCAACCCCGGTTTCTATGCATTTTCCTAGTCTAGATATTTCTTTCATCTTTTTTTTAAATTGTACTTTAGATGAAGGTTTACAGAACAAACTAGCTTCTCATTAAATGGTTAGTACACATATTGTTTTGTGACAATGGTTACCAACCCCACGACATGTCAACACTCTCCCTTTTAGATCTTGGGTTCCCAATCACCAGCTTTCCTGTTCCCTGCTGCCTTCTAGTCCTTGCTCCTGGGCTGGTGTGCCCCTTTAATCTTGTTTTGTTTTATGGGTCTGTCTAATCTTTGGCTGAAGGGTGAACCTCAGGAGTGACTTCATTACTGAGCTAAAAGGATGTCCGGGGCCTATACTCTAAGGGTTTCTCCAGTCTCTGTCAGGCCAGTAAGTCTGGTCTGTTTTTGTGAGTTATAATTTTGTTCTACATTTTTTTCCAGCTCTGTTTGGGACCCTCTATTGTGTTCCCTGTCAGAGCAGTCAGTGGTGGTAACTGGGCACCATCTAGTTGTACTGGACTCAGTCTGGTGGAGGCCGTGGTAGTTGTGGTCCATTAGTCCTTTGGACTAATCTTTCCCTTTTGTCTTTAGTTTTCTTCATTGTCCCTTCCTCCTGAAGGGATGAGACCAGTGGAATCTCAGATGGCCACTCACAAGCTTTTGAGACCCCAGACATATAGCAACACTTTTAATGACGACTTGAGACTGTATCATGTGTCAGAAATATGCAACAAGTGCCTACTGTCCATTCACCTCAAATATTTAGTGAAAACCTATTGTGTACCAGGCCTTTCCTTGGACATTTAGGCTGACTACATTATCTTAGTATTAGAATAGTAACCCAGTTATAAATGGTGGAGTCCCTAGGTAGTGAAAATGGTTTACGTGTTTGGCTGCTAACCAGAAGGTTGGAGGTTCAAGTCTACCCAGAAGGTGCCTTGGAAGAAAGGCCTGGTGAGTTACTTCCAAAAAAATCAGCCATTGAAAACCCTATGGAGATAGTAAACCAGTGTCACCTTTCCTTTGGTGAAGGGAAAGACAACATACAATATAAGGGAAGTTAGCACAATGTGTCCGAGGCAAAGTCTTAGAAGCTTCCTAGACACATCCAGACACCTTGAGGGACCGAGTTGCTGGGGCTGAGAGCTGGAGACCATAGTTTCGGGGACATCTAGGTCAATTGGCATAACATAGTTCATAAAGAAAATGTTCTACATCCTACTTTGGTGGGTAGTGTCTGGGGTCTTAAAAGCTTGCGAGCGGCCATCAGGATACATCTGTCGAGCGCATCCCATCTGCAGCAAAGGAGTTTGAAGAAAACCAAAGACACAAGGGAAATATTAGCCCAAAGGACTAAAGGACCACAAGTACCACAGCCTCAACCAGCCTAAGCCTAGAAGAACTAGATGTTGCTCGGCTACCATCACCGACAGCTCTAACAGGGATCACAATAGAGAGTCCCAGACAGAGCAGAAGAAAAATATACCTGCTAACTTAGGACACCCTGCTAACTTAGAACTAAAGCCACTCCTGAAGCCCACTTTTCAGACAAAGATTAGACAGACCTATAAAACAATAACACATGTGCCCCTTAGTTCTATCAAATACATGAGACCAAATGGGCAACTCCTGCCCAAGAGCAAGATGAGAAGACAGGAAGGGACAGGAAAACTGGACAAGTGGACACAGGAAGCCCGGGGTGGAAAGAGGGAGAGTGCTGTCACATTGTGGAGATTGTAATCAATGTCACAAAACAATTTGTGTACAAATTTTTGAATGAGAAACTAACTTGTGCTGTAAACTTCCACCTAAAACACCATAAAAGTATTAAAAAAAAATGTTTGCTGAAAGAAAAAAAAAAAGAAAACCCTAGAGCACAGTTAGTTCTGCTCTGACACACATGGGGTTGCCATGAGTCAAGGCTGGCAACTGGTACATAACAAATGATGCTGAGAGTATTTTTGGAATATGCCTCACTCAGTTCCTTTGCCTGTAAAGTTGAATTAATAATATATCTGAGTTAAGTTTAATTTTTTAATTTTAAATTCCTCTGAATTGATTCTTGTAAGTAATAACAGTATCTATGTGATTCTCTTGCTTTTGAAGTACTGTCCTGGAGGAGAGCTGTTTGATTACATAATTTCCCAGGATCGCCTGTCGGAGGAAGAGACCCGAGTTGTCTTCCGTCAGATAGTATCTGCAGTTGCTTATGTGCACAGCCAAGGCTATGCTCACAGGGACCTCAAACCAGTAAGTGAATGTGTCACTGTTAGATACTCACTTGAGACTTCAACATCACTGACCTGTTATTTTTAAGTTTCCAAACATTCTTTCTGTTTAGGAATTTATCTTAGTCTTTCTTTTCTTTGTTCCCCTCTGAATGTGTCACGTTTCTTTTTTCTTCCGTTACTTATGACTTTTGGTAGACTTTTTGGATGGACTTGTTATTAGCATTCAATTTGTCTGTCAATCGTGTGTGATGGTACAAATGTCTTTGTAATCAGCTGTGAGATACAAACCTCAGGATTTTGCCTCCAGGAAAGAAAAGAAAAGAAAAAGACTCTTTAAGAGTATTGAGTCATTCATTGAGTATTTTCCATTCAATACTCTTTTCCTAACCCTTTCTTCCTTTAATTTTAATTCTGTTATTTCTCAGAAAGGACCAGATCAATAGAATGGACAGACTCTACTTCTTAAGGACAGAATAAAAATATGTATACTCTTAAGTCTGCAGGTTCTAACTAATACAAATAATGGCGAACATGGATTTAAATGTTAACTTGGTACCAAGGTCAGGGACCTGGAATTGGTCTAACAAGATACAGCAGTGTTACTGTTCTTTTCCCTCTGTTTATACTCAGCTCTTTCATTTTGAGCTGGCTCTTTTGGTTTAAATTTACTTTTGGCACAGATTGTATTTGCTTTTTCTGTAGTTGAACCTCAGAGCACAGAGAAGAAAATGGCTTATGCTAATGTGTTGTGAGGAGAAGCTGTGTAGTAGTTATCATTATTCCTCCTGTCTCCTATAGCTCTTAATCATTCATTCTTATTTTAATGGTTTTCACTCTGTTGTGCCTAGGCTTTTTAGTACCTTAAATGATTTTTAGAAGTGACTAGAGGTGGGGATGTGATGTAAGGAAGTCAGCATATGGTTATCAAAATATCTTTATTTTCTCAGGAAAATTTGTTGTTTGATGAATACCATAACTTAAAGCTGATTGACTTTGGTCTCTGTGCAAAACCCAAGGTAAGTGCAGAAATAAAAATGGATTTATTTCCTTTGTAAATGCACCTCTTAATGTGTTATCTTGCACTGACTTCTGCTTAGTCTTTATTGAGCCTGGTTGCCTCCACTGAGAGGAGCCCAGGTGGCCCAGAGGTTAAGCGCTCGGCTGCTAACCAAAAGGTTGGCGGTTCGAGCCCACCAGCTGCTCCATGGGAGAACGATGTAGCAGTCTGCTTCCCTAGAGATTTATAGCCTTGGAAACCTTATGGAGCAGTTTTACTCTGTCCTATAGGGTCACTATGAGTTGGAATCGACTCGATGGCAATGGGTTTGGTTTTTGGTTTGGCCTCCACTGAAAGAAGGTTATACTTCATCTCTGGCGTCAGTTATTTTTTTACAAGTTCTCTAGGTGATTTTAATATGCAGCAAAGACAGAGAACCACTGCTCTAGGTTCAAGGCTGGGTACTATACCCGTGAGTATTTTGTGAGAGGAATTTGCAATGCTGAGGGAACTCGAGGCCACCACAGCAGGAATGCTGAATTGACATGTACTTGCAGTTTGAGTATGTTGCTACTGGATGATGCTGGTGTTCATTTAAATATGAGTTTTGAGAATTTAGTGCTAATCTATTCTTTGTTATCTACATAGTTGTATGACTAACAATTACTGTTATGTCTTGAGAGACAATTCCCTTTCCTTATAAAAGAATTGAAGGAAAAAGTCCATATGCCCTTTTAAATGCATATGGTTATATATTTCCTTAATTTGCACTCCATAGTTAAATACTGCTGTTCTGCTGCATAACTTCTCTTTGAGGTGACTTTGAACTTCCCAGCTCTACTGTCTGTGGCAGAGCTCCTGTGTGGCTGCCTGTTGGAGGCTTCCTCCTGAGTTCTTTAATGATGGTACTCGCAGTCTTTAAAATGAGCTGTCTACACTCATTGAGAATGTTGAAATTGTAGACTTGTCTCAGTCCTTCATAGTCCCATGATTATTTCCTGCCCCAATCAGAATTAGCTAGGTGCAAAGGAAAGCTGACTTTACCCCTTCGGCTGAATGTCTGATTCTTCTTTCCTTCTTTGGCTGTTCAGAGATTATCAGTGGAACCTTCTGTCTGGGAATCAAATGCTAGAAGGCAGTTTTCTGATCGGCAGATGTATAAAGATAAAACATACTTTGGACAGATAAACTGGTTTAAGTCTTGTTCTCCATAGGAAGCGGTAGAGAATGTTTGTGACAGACTCCGTTAGCCTTTTTTTTATGGCTGTCTCAGATTTGACTGCACAGACACCATCTATAAAAGTGGGGGTTGGCTGGGAAAGGATCAGCTACAGCCTTCTGCTGAGGTGCTCACTTCTAGGCAAGTTGTTTCAGTTGTAAATCCAATCTCACAATTTCACAAGCCCTTTGCAAGCTGATGAACTCTATACAGGTGTTGGGCAGTAGTATCGTTTCCATTACATCTTCTGTGGGAGGGCAGAGGAAAATGAACAGACTCCTCATTTTAATAGATCTGGAAATTAAGGCAGTGGTTTGTCTTAAAACTGAGTCTAGAAAACAGACTCCCAGGGCACTGTTCTGTGTACCATAGTTGCCTTCTTCCCTCTAAGGAAAAAGACACTCTTCTGTGTTTGTAATGGTTAGGTATTGGAGATGTTGTTGGTGTACGTCCAGTCAACTCCAACTCATAAAGACCCTAAGGCCGGAGTAGAACTGCCCCATAGGATTTCATGGGCTGAAATCTTTACGACAGCAGATCACCAGCTCTCTTCTGTGGAGTGGCTGGTGGGTTTGAGCCACTGACCTTTTGGTTAAACAGCTGAGAGCTTAATCATTGTGCCGCCAGCGCTCCTTAGATATTGAAGATAGGGTCCTGTAAAGAAATAACTCATTTTCTTTGAACATTTGAGGGTAGGAAGACATTAGTGCTTGGATGTATGCTAAGCTGATTATTATGCAAGTAGATTCCTAGGGAAATACAGACTGACTTGACTGAGCTAAAGGGAAAAGATTTTGTAGGTTCCGGGTTGTAGTGGTACTGGAAACCCAAAGAAGAGGAGACCACACGTGTGTTTGTGCACGTATGCAGAGAGTATTGGTTTGGCTGCAGAAGTCCGTTATTGCTCGGGATAGTTCATCATTTAGCTTCTCTTTCCTTGTGCTCAAAGAATGTTTATCGAGGTTGAGTTCTCTTAAGGGCCGTAATTAATAAATGTTTCATTTTTATCTTATTTGCAGGGTAATAAGGACTACCACCTACAGACATGCTGTGGGAGTCTTGCTTACGCAGCACCTGAATTAATACAAGGCAAATCGTATCTTGGATCAGAGGTAATTATTCATCGATTAATTCAATATGTATTCAGCGTACGTTTTTTGGTGACCTGTAGTGAGTCAGGCACTGTGCATAGAGGATATAACGATGAAATAAGAACTAGTCCTGTTAATCAAAGAGTTCAGTCTACTCCGAGTGAGATGTATAAACTAGTAAATGGAATGAATAACTTACAATAAATATACTTACAGAACTCATAGTACCCTTTTGAAGCAGGAATGTATTTCTGGTGTCTTTGCTTTTGCGTTAAAGAACAGTGCCATGGTTTGGACTGGTTAGTTCAGCTGGGTAGAGCACAAGGCCAGGGTTTCAGGCTCAGTTTTCTGAGATGCTGGTTAGCACAGAGAAGGCTTGTCCTTTGCCCGTAGCCAACTCTCCGAGGTCAGCAGTCCTGGGTTGGAGGCCTAGGCCCAGAAGTCCAGGGCTTTGCTGCTTTACTGCTTGTTACTTCAAGCTGGTCTGCCCTACCCGTTCTCTGGAGTACTGGTTTTGCTGGAAGTTAGTATATATGATAAGATTTAGTAGTCAAATGCTGGGTTGACAGGTTTCTTTATTTCAGGACCTCTCCAAGCCTTTATTTAGAAGGGAAATAGCACAGATAAGGCAGCTGGTCCCAGTTTTATTTGACTACAAAATCTACTTTTCGTATGGAGCATCCTTTGGAACTAGTATTTTATGGAACAAACTTTGGGACATATCAGGTTACTTAATTAGTAACATGAAAAGATGGGAACTGACTTGTTTTTGGTGATTCTATTTTGATATAATTTCAAACTCAGAGAAAAGGTGCAAGCATAGAATGAGGAACTTCTGTATCTCTTACTCAGATTCACAGTTGTTTACATTTTGCCCTATTTATCATTCTGTCTATATATAGGCATATTTTTTTTTCCAGTAAACATTTTTTTTAAATTGTACTTTAGATGAAGGTTTACAGAACAAACTAATTTCTCATTAAACAGTTAGTACACATATTGTTTTATGACATTGGTTAACAACCCCACGACATATCAACACTCTCCCTTCTCGACTTTGGGTTCCCTATTACCAGCTTTCCTGTCTCCTCATACCTTCTCATCCTTGTCCTTGGGCTGTTGTGCCCCTTTAGTCTCATTTTGTTTTATGGGCCTGTCTAATCTTTGGCTGAAGAGTGAGCCTTGGGAGTGACTTCATTACTGAGCAAAATGGGTGTCTGGGGGCTATT